CTTATTATAATGTATTTTAAGTAGATATAAATGTATGCTTTGTTGGTTGCCCTTAAATAAATAAATAAAGTAAAATAAAAATATTATTCCAATATTCCCAACTCAACTAATTATTTCCTAATTAATCCTTGGTGTATTGTAAACTTTACCGATTAAGAAAATTTATGTGTTTGTAACCATTTTTTTAAGAAAATTTTAGAGATAGGAAACTGACTTGGGTGATGATAAGAAATTTAAAAAGTAACGTTAATTAACATTTATCTAGCAACGATTTTGATAAAATTTCTATAGGAATAGTAATAATAATAATACTCTTTATTGCGCATAATAGAGATGTATACAAGAAGTATTTATACAGAATGTGCATATACAAAAGGCGGCCTTATCGCTAAAAGCAATCTCTTACAGACAACCTGGCGTAAATAATGGACAAGTACATGTGAGAGAAAGGTAGATGGCGCTAGTCAGACACAGTAAATACAAAAAAGGAATCAAACAAAAATGCAAAATATTCTAAACATAAAAATAAGATTATAATACATAAACATAGATATAATATATATATATATATATATATATAGTAGTCATTCAAATGAAAAAAGAATTTTTCATATCGGTTTATAAATGACGAAGTTACGAGGCAATAAACACAAAAAGCGGAATAGAGAACCTTCTTTTTTGAAGTCGGCTAAAAAACATACCTAAAAAGATGAGCATCATAGGACGAATACAGGAAAAACCCTCATCCCTTAACCAGAACCAGTAGCGAAACGGGAACAACAATTACGTAAAGTGAAAGATAACCAGTAACGTTGTCTTGCCATCGTGTGTTTACTAACTTTCATTAACTTTTACTGCAAGAATCCATTTATTTAACAAGAAACCCATTGGTGTGAGGAGTGGAGTTAATAATTGCCTATAATTGGGGAAAGGGATTCTTAGTAATGGAGACTGAGAATCCCATTGCTAGCAATATACCCAACCAGGTCGACCTTCTCGCGGTTCTCCCTGGAAACTATCGTAATTAATTCCTAATGAATTCATCATGATGGGCTAACTGGCCTGTTTTCATTCTCATCTACCACCCTTCACTGGTGCTCCGCCAGCGTATCCCGTTAGCGCAGGCGGTGTTACCATACCATTTTTACCCAGCAAAAAAAAAATTGCCTATAATTATTAAGTAAATTCGACCTAGTTTTGTACAGACTAGCCGAAAGTTTACCCAATCATACACACTCTCACGCCGTTAGTTGAATTTGTCAAACTTTAATTACTCTAAATTGATTGTACGCACTCATTTTGAAATGACTTAACCACAGAGTAAATATCTGTACAGAGTTAATCTTTAACTAATAGGTAATATCGTCGACTTAATTAATTTATGTAACAAGATATACATCGGTTTGAGGCGTGGAGTTAATAATTGCCTATGATTGTTCAAGTAAACTCCATTCAGCTCGGTACAGAGTAGCCGACATTTCAGACTTTCACGTAATAACTGCATTTATATATTAATAATTATTATAATTGTAATGTAATCATGTAATTTTCTGTGATGTAACTATTAAAGCTTCAAATTACTTAGTTGGGCTATGAGAAGGGTTTCTTTTATGGGTGAAAATGGAATGGTAACCTCGCCTGCGCTAACTGGATACGCTGGCGGAGCACCAGTGAAGGGTGATAGATGAGAATGAAAACAGGCCAGTTAGCCCATCATGATGAATTCATCAGGAATTAACCATGATAGTTTCCAGGAACCGCGAGGAGGTCGACCTGGTTGGGTATATTGCTAGCAAAGGGATTCTCAGTTTCCATTACTAACAATTCCTTACCCCCAACTATGAGAAGGGTTATGCTCGGTGCTTCTTTGCATGACAGAATCCGAAACGAGGATATCCGCAAAAGAACCAAAATAACCGACATAGCCCGAAGGATAAGCAAGCTGAAGTGGCAATGGGCTGATCATTTAACTCGAAGAACCGACAACCGATGGGGAAGAAAGATTCTTGAGTAGCGACCACGTACGGGTAAACCCAATATAGGACGACCCTCCCACTAGATGGAGTGACGACCTGAAATGCGTTGCAGTGAGTCAGTGGATGCAGGTGGCTCAGGACCGCCTTTATGGCAGTCTATGGGGCAGGCTTATGTTCAGCAGAGGACGAATAATGGCTGAAATGGTGATGATGATGAAATTGATATTATATTTTGCACTTCTTTTGGAATGATGTAACCACAGAGTAAATATCTAAACGGAATCAATTTTCTTATAGGTATACGTAATCCGCTAATTAAACAAGAAACCTTTTGACGGTTGAAGTGGAGTTAAAATTGTTTGTGATTGTTTGCTTAAATCCGACCCAGTTTCGCACCGGCCGGCTGGAAATTTCAAGCAATTTAAAGCACTCTCCAGATAGCTCTCTAATTTGTTAAATTAGATAATTATTCCGAACTAGCCGACCCGGCGACAGACCCGCTGCCCTGTCCAAATTGCGTTTTTATTTTTCTTCTTTATAAACCTTAATCGGATTATCGCGAACATAGTAATGTGAGTCCAGTCCGTTCTTAACTTTTCGACCTAAGTGTATAGATTTCAGGTCAAGCCGTGTAGATTCTAGCATAGAATAGACTATCCATTCGTCACCCAGTCGTAAGGGGCAACTAAGGGAGCTTATGGTGGAGGAGTGGCTAGCAGCGTCTCTTTTAAAACGTCACCAAAACCAACTGCGATTGCCAATCCGCCTATCAAGCGTTTTTCTATGCAACTTAGAATGGCAAACAAGCTGACGGCCCACCTGATGGAAAGTGGTAACCGTCGCCTATAAACATGAGCAGTACCATGTACATGACAGAGTATACGATTTCGCCCATGATACCTTCCATGCGTTGCCATACTCGAGGACTCGGGTGTTATTCCTCTGTACACTCTAAATTCACTGCCATATCTCACCCTTCACACCGCAATATGGCCATGCAAACTACAAGTGCTTCACGGTGGAAACACGAATAGAACAGAGGTGCCCAACGAAACAAGTTTTGTACAGTGTCCCTCTAGTTGCGAGGCAACTAATATAAACCAAACCCCTCTCTTATGGGGGAGGCTGTGTTCATCAGTGGACAGTTATGGACTGATACAACAATATAGACTTTGTTTACACGGTATTAAAAATTTAATTGCTTCGTAAAAATAAAATCTCGTTATTAATTAACTTTTAAAAGAGTAACTGTTGAGTTTTTGCGGGCTCTTCTCAGCAGAGAACAACCTTCTGTACCGTGCAGGGGATTAAAGAAATATATGACAATTTGAAAATGTAAACAACTCTATTTAAATAAAGATAATTTGAATTAAAAATTATTTTCACTAATGATCTTATAACTGTCGATGGTAATTAACACATATTATGGTTTATTTGAACAGTTCTGATATTAACATTTGATTTTTAAATACCATATAATCCTAACTAACTATCATGGGGGAAGGGGATTGTTAGTAATGGGCTCTTATTGACCCATTGCTAGCAATACATACTAACAGGTCGACCTCTACGCGGTTCCCCCTGGAGACCGTCGTGATTAATTCTAGTGGAATTCTCACCTGTCATCCCTCACTGGTGCCCTGCCAGCGTATCCCGATAGTGCAAGCGGACTTATCATTCCATTATCACTTTTAAATGTTAAAAAAACTGAACTACCATTGATTTTTAACTTACTAACTATAAGATAAAAAATATAAGAACAAAGATTCTAATAAGTAATCTAAAATAAAAAGTTTTTAATAAAACTTTTTTTAGTTACTAATGCATTTTGTAACAGCCTGTATATACAACAACAATGATAGGTCGACTAGAATCTAGCTAATAATAAACTAGGCGAATATTCTTTAATATATTCAGTTAATGAACAAACAAACTTTCAACTAATTAGATATTAAAGTTTATTATACATACTCCATAAACAGACTGGGTAACTTAAACAAACACATAATAAGTAATAGAGGTGGGAATAGCCATCCCACATCCTAATATATAGGATAGATACTACCCAGTGGTCCCGGCATAGAATGGCCCACCCCTATCTCTCCCATGAGTGTCGTAAGTGGCGACTAAATGGTCGAGGTATGGACAGAAGCGTCCATCTTAAAACATTCCCAAATCATAACTGTGGTTGCCAACTCGCCTACCAAGCATAGCAATTAATGGCAAAACCTATGTCTTCAACCTATGTGTTCAACAGCGGGCAGTTAACAGCTAATATTATGTTAACAGCTGATATTTTTTTTTATACATCTTAGCAAACAAGCTGACGGCCCACCCGATGGAAAGTGGTAACCGTCGCCTATAGACGTGAGCAGTACCATGGACATAACAGAGTATACTGTTTCGCCCATAATATCCCCTACACGTTGTCATTCCTGAGGACTCAGATGTTATTCCTCTGTACCCTGTAAATTCACGCCATATCCCACCCTTCAAACCGAAACACAGCAATGCAAACACAACTGCTTCACGGTAGAAACACGAATGGGACAGAGGTATGCATGCAAACGACTTTTGTACAAAGTCTCCCTCTGGTAAATATTGGATAACAGACATTTACCATATTATATATATATATATATATATATATATATATATATATATATATATATATATATATATATATATATATATATATATATGTGTGTTATTAAAACTATTGAGGACAGAAGGGAAAAAATGTTAGGACACTTGATACGACACGACGAACTTATGAACATTATAATAGAAGATAAGATAGACGGAAGAAGGGGGAGAGGGAGACCGAGACATAGTTACATCAGGCAGTTCAAGGAAGGAGTTGGTGTCGTGTCGTATCAAGAGGTGAAGAGACTCGCTGAAAATCGTAGTGAGTGGCAAGAGCTCCATCGACAAGAGCGCAGCTCTTAAATGGATAGATAGATAGATATATGTGTGTGTGTGTTACCTACACTTCTAATAATACGTAATAGAATATTCACTTACCTCGGGACAAAAAGTTCAACACTCTAATTCTCTTCCTTGACGTACGACCTGTAACAGATAGTTAATTTATTACTAATATTTAATGCCCAAGTTTTTTGATGTAAATGTTTTATTTTATCACTAGCATTTACCCGCGAGTTCGTCCACGTAACCGGAATATTTTTACTGATCAGGATGAAAAGTAGTACATATTCTTCTCCATTCTAGAACAGAATAACGGTAGGAGAGGGAAAAGGGATTGCTAGTAATGAGGTCTAAGAGCCCCATTGCTAGCAATATACCCTCTCAGGTCGACCTCCACGCGGTTTCCCCTAGAAACCATCATTGTTAATTCTTGTCGAATTCATCATGGTGGGCCAACTGACCTGCATTCATTCTCACCTATCATCTTCTATTGGTGCAACTTAGAATGGCAAACAAGCTGACGGCCCACCTGATGGAAAGTGGTAACCGTCGCCTATAGACATGAGCAGCACCATGAACATAACAGAGCACACCGTTTCGCTCATGATACCCCCCCTGCGTTGCCATTCCTGAGGACTCAGATGTTATTCCTCTGTACCCTGTAAATTCACCCAGTTTACAAGCGATCCTACTTTTTATTAAGCGAGCCCACAGACTGCTTGCAATTTATAGTAAAAAAAAAATCGATTAAGTGCGAGTCGGATTCGCGCAACGAGGGTTCTGTACAAAATTTTCAACTTTAATTTTTTTTTGTGTAATAACGACAAATTTACTTTTTTCGGACTTTTCCCTTTACTTGTGCTACATGACTTTGCTTCTTGCCAAATGTCATCATTCTAGGTCAACGAGAAGTAACCTATAGGTTTTGATTCCCTTTGCGAATGTCAAAATATGCGATATAAATGGAACATAAACGGCCGTACTTTTTTATTGCGTCGATTTAGAAGCTTCGTTTTTTCACTGCTTTAAGAGATTGCAGACCTGAGTGTATGATATTAATTTCAACATGATACCTCCACGTGTTCCAAAAAGGGTCTTGACAGATGAACGGACGGGCAACGGAGTGATCCTATAAGGGTTCCGTTTTTGCCATTCGAGATACGGAACCCAAGAAAAAAGGTTCTGAATTAAATAATTTCGAGATAAATCATTTATAATTTGAAACGTACAAGATGACGTCGATGGCGGCGTTTCATTAAAGGACACACCATTACGACCGGGTGAACCGTGACGGGCTTCGATTAACTAGTACCCGTTTTCTATCTGCTACTGTTAACAAAGATTTAACCCGACCCGCCGTCGTCGGGTGCAGTTAATTAAGAAAATCGTTAAAAAGACCGATATTCTGTCCGGAGATAGATTTTTTATGATCGCCACTCTAATGTCGCAGTGTGTTACTTTGTTTTTAAATTTTAATTGAGTGTAAATTATATCTTTTTAATTGTCTTTATGTGGAATATAAATTAAATTTATATACCGTTTACAAACCCTTTTGAATTATCATTTTTCTTACGTCGATATCGAGATTTCTTTTTATACATCTTAGAATTAGTATTGCTGCCACTTATGGGCGGGAGCACCTAGATACCAGCTTGAACCATTCGACTCAGTGCAACGACGAGCTATGAGAATTGTCGATGATCCCATGCTTGCAAGCGGTATTGAACCCTTAAGTCTTAGGAGAGATTTTGCCTCACTCTGCGTGTTCTACCGCTTATACAACGGATTGTGCTCAGAGGAATTATTCAATATGATGCCTACGGCCACTTTCTATCATCGTACAGCTCGCCATCGACAGGGAGTTCACCCTCATACCTTACAGCCTAAATGGTCGCGTACAACGCGGTTTCAGAGATGCTTTCTTCCACGAACACTCAGGTTATGGAATGAGCTCCCTGCCGAGGTTTTCCCGAGAGACTACAGCATGGGGTTCTTCAAAAGGGCGGTAAAGAGGTTTCTTCAGGGTCGGCAACGCGCGCGTAATACCTCTGGCATTGCAGGCGTTCATAGGCTACGGTAACCGCTTACCATCAGGTGGGCCGTATGCTTGTTTGCCACCACAGTGGTATAAAAAAAAAAAAGAATGGCAAACAAGCTAACGGCCCACCCGATGGAAAGTGGTAACCGTCGCCTATAGACATGAGCAGTACCATGGACATAACAGAGTATACTGTTTCGTCCATGATACCCCCCATGCGTTGCCATTCCTGAGGACTGAGGTGTTATTCCTCTGTACCCAGTAAATTCACGCCATATCCCACCCTTCAAACCGAAACACAGCCATGCAAACACAACTGCTTTACGATTGAAACACGAATGAGACAGAGGTACCCAAGCAATCGACTTTTGTACAAAGTCTCCCTCTGGTATGTATGAGATGAGATATGAGATTTTATCAAATTAACAGTAGAAAATGAACAGTTATATTTTTCTAAATTCAAGCTTTGTTCAAAAATCGTTTGATTGGGTACCTTTGTCCCATTCGTGTTGCTGCCGTGAAACAATTTTGTTTGCTGTGTTTCGGTTTAAATGGTGGGATTATCAGGATTATCTTTAGCCATTATCCGTCCACTGGTGAACATAGGTCTCCCCCGTACACTGCCATAAAGAACAGTCCTGAGCCATTTACATCTACTAATTCCCTGCGATGCATTTAAGGTCGTCGTTCCATCCAGTGGGAGGTCGTCCTACATTGTCTATACAGGATCGCCACTCCAGAGCCTTTCATCCCCATCGGTTGTCGGTTCTTCGAGCTATGTGACCAGTCTATTGCCACTTCAGCTTGGTTATCCGTCTGGCTGATGATGGGATTTGACTATGAAATTACAAGGTACAGAGTCATAACACCAGAAATAGCAATGTACAAAAAGTATCATGGCTGACACAGGTTAGTTCTTATGTCCATGGTACTGTTCGCATCTATTGCGATTGTTTCTTTTTATGTAATTTACCAGAGGAAGACTTTGTACAAAAGTCGTTTACTTGGGCACCTCTGTCTCATTCGTGTTTCCACCGTGAAGCAGTTATGTTTGCATGGCTGTGTTTCGGTTTGAAGGGTGAGATATGGCGTGAATTTACTGGGTACAGAGGAATAACACCTGAGTCCTCAGGGATGGCAACGCATGGGAGGTATCATGGGCGAAATAGTATACTCTGTCATGTCCATGGTACTGCTCATGTCTATAGGCGACGGGCTACCCCTTCCTGCTCCACCATAGAATAGGCCACCCCTTACTTTTCCGTAGGTGTCGTAAGACGCGACTAAGAGAGGGCGAGGGATGAGCAACGGTGTCCCTCTTGAAACATCTCCAAAGCCTAACTGCGGTTGCCAACCCGCCTGCTAAACATGGCTTCTACTGGCAAAACTCCCCTAACGGGCAAGGCCTATGTCCAGCAGTGGACAGTTAACGTCTGAAATAATAATAATAATTGTCAGAATCAGTGAAAGTGCTAAACACATGTAGCTCGCCATGACAGATATTGTCTTGTTTAAAGAAAAATGATGCTGTTTAACATTCCCTTCAAAAGGTTACAGTAGTAAAGCTAGTAAAAATATAAATCAGAAAATACAAGAAAAATAAGTAGTTAAAGTGTAAAAACCAATAGGCGGTGTTATCGCTAAAAGCGATCGCTTCCAGTCACGACACGATAAAATTCTGTTCGGAAAAATATAGCTCAGCAAAAAGTGCGCTGACCGTTTTTCGAAGTGTTTTTTGAAATACTTATACCCATCAAGAGATATTCATGTACATTGATAAATTTTATACATTTTCATAATTAGGTATACATTATATATTATATATTTATACTCTCTATTGACTAATTATCCTAACATTATTATTAGTCTAAATCATTAAACTAAATTTCTAATGTAGGTAGTATATTAATTTTTCTCAAACATGCTTGGAAATGTGAGCATTGTTTTGACAATCTTCTTCAAGATAAATCAAAATTGCCTACTGGCCAGATACATGCGGGTAGCGGCCGGCAAAAGTTGTATGAAAATCCATTTCTGTTGTGTTTTGCGGCCAGATAAATTACTATGTAAACTCATACCTGTCCTGTAATTTAAAAATGGAATCACCTTTTACTTCGAAACATGGCTACCAAGGAGATAACTAATACAAGGTTTTATTTAAATTTCGAACTGGCTTGCAAATAGAAAGCTGTTTATTGAAAAAAAAAACAAAGGAACTTTATGGCGCGTGAAAAATTATTATTGTTCGTTATACGTTATTGAAGTTAAAAAGTAAAATTGTGTTTTTGATTTCTGCGCATTGTTTGAGAAAAGTACTATACAAGTCTTGGCCACAACTAGGCATTGATGGACTCACGTATGTGTGCCTCGACTATGCCTTAGCCCACATTTGCACGTTCGTCCATCAATGCCTCAGTTGCTGGCCGCTGCAGTAATGTACTATAAAATACGATCTAATTTTGGCAAGTTATTGCATCATGCAGCAATAAAATATATAATTAACCTCGTCTTGCACAGCACAGTAACAAAAAAGAATCTTTTATGTTTTCAATATATTTTAAGTTGTTTAAGTTAACACGACGCGAGTACAGATAAAGCAAATAATACAAAATCAATATTAATAAATATTTTTACATACAATGTTACAATAAAAATAACTGATACATACATATATATACCTGAACTATAAACTTTCACTGACAGAAGACTTTGTTAAAAAGGTTTGTCGATTTAAATTCCACCCATATTATAATATCAGAACGTGTAGTTATTACTCAGTATGTGGGAGAAAGGTATTCATATATGGACGCTGACGCCGATAGTTGCCACATTTGGCAAGTGAGTTGGCAATCACTGTTAGGTTTTGGTGATGTTATAAAAGGCATGCTGCTGCCCATCCCTTGACTATAAAACTTAGACTTAAGACTTTCACGTCTTATCGTACGCGACTTTACGCAATGAGGTTGTACTCGTTACTTCTTAATATTAGTTTTATGTACCAAGAAGTACATCAATTTTAAATTTGGGGTACAACTCACTCCATTAGATTCGTCTACCTATTCCTCATGATGACATAAAAAATGGACAAGTAGTTTTTTTATTATTA